ATGTTTTAATATCAATAAATAGTATCTATCTATCATTAATCTAAACTTGCTATATTTAACATCCATAACGATAACTTTCCATACTGTATGTGTATATGACTGAATCACACTTACATATAGACGAAGTTTAATTTATTATTATCAATTTCCTCCTTTTCATCAATAACTACCTGAATGTCAACAATGAAGTAAAATCTTAAGCGATGATGCACAAATGCTTTGTTTTGTTCTGTTAATGTTGGCATAGTTCCAGAACAAGACTCAGTTGCAGGCGCATAGTGGTTTTGCCAAACATCAACTCTACTGCGAAGCTCGTTAGTCAAGACGTAAACAATCCACACAACTTGGAACAAAATTAAATATGCACAAAATAAATTTAAATAATTGTAAGCGATGAGGTGTGTAATTTGGAATTGAAAATAAGGAAATTGTAAATGTGAAGGTTGGATAGAGATTGTTTTCTATCAGCATATAATTTTTGGAGTAAATCTTTTATTATTTTTTAAAAGCCTTAAATCAAATAATATTTTATATCTATTTAAATAAGCTGAAAACACGCACAACGGCCCGAATGAGAGGCCAATTGCGGAAAATGGAGTCCAACCTACAAATAAGCTGAAAGATATTTATCATTTTAATATAATTACGTGTGGTTATTGCACCTTTACTATTTATTAAACAGGACAGAGTGTTATAAGTTCTTGTAGCCCTACTAAAATGGAATAGACTCTGGCAAAATCAGTTAAATATTAAGGAATATATCGAGTAATTTATACAAAACGACATAATATATAATTTAATGACTCAACTTTTAATCAGTAGTCTAAAAAGAACTGTGTTCTTTACATATTTTTAGAACAGACATATTTTTGTTCTACGAATAGTGCAATAAAAATATAATTCGGCATAGACCACTAATAAATTACCTGGTTTATTTTTATACCAAATTATATTTTTGTGTAATAATTTAAACAACAGCAGTGAAAGTGCTTCATAAATGTAGAGGTTACAACCGCTAACTTATCATAAATGAGTGGAGGACGATTTGATAAAGTTCCAAAAATAAATTGACAACCAATAACACTCAAAAGGAAGCAACAATAAATGGAGGCCTCAATTCAGATCGCCATTCAAAATAATTGGTAGTTCATATTGTAACCGTCAAGACAAGCGGGTCGACATGGCAATATGATTTGATGTTAATATACAAGTAAACAAGAGTAAAAACTTGTATAAATTGATTTCTAATGACTGTAATTAACAGAAATTATTACTGGTGTATCTTAATGTAAAAAGGAAATAGCGATCTAGATGATCCATCCAGGTGACATAAAAAGTACTTATTTAGTCACGGAAATAAACCTTATTTCAAAGAACTAAACTGTGTATTGATACAGAAAGAGGAGGGTCCTGCGGTCAAACGTAGCGTTCCAAAACTAAACAATAGCAATGCAAGAAAGACGGACGCATAGTCCCATGTTGAATTATTTATGGCGGCGAAGTTTACCGAGCAGTAAATTAAATGAACAAAACCTGATATGTACTTAGAAAACGTTTCGTTTTCTTTGTTCTTTTTTTGCTCAATAAAAGAATTGAATGTGCAAGTCAACATTAGAAAGAATTATTTCGTTGAAACTTTATTAAAGGGATTGAATCGAATTGTCGGATCATTGAATATATGAGCACACTTAAAGACTTCTGTTTTCTGTAGAAAAAGAAACTCCACTCTTCTTTATCTCTATAATTTAACAACTTCACTTGTATTGTACAAGTTTTGTAATAAGTTTTAATTAAAACTAATGCTATTAATTAGCAATGATTCTAAACTCTTAATAGATCTTCCCAATACATGATCTATATACATATATAACAAAAATATCCAAAAAGATATGGCTACCTTGTTTATCTTAGTAAATCTGTTTCCATATATAGATATATAGTAAGTAGAACACGTCATTTCAGCAGTACAGCTTTCAAGTTAACTGAAGAACTAAGCGTACTTTTGTAGCGTCTGCTTTATTAGACATCGGCTACTGACCTTTTCTCCCACTCTATGGCATTGTCAACCTTATATTGATCTTAATAACAAAGTATGTCACATAAATATAATATATTTATGATTACTATTAGGTAGTATAAAACAAAGTTGCTGTCGTTGTCTGTCCTTATGTATACTTAAATCTTTAAAACTACGCAACGGATTTTGTAGCGGTTTTTTTTTCATTGATAAGAGTGATTCAACAGAAAGGTTTATATATATATATATATATATATATATATATATAATACAAATTCACCCGTACGAAACCGGGGCGAGTAGCTAGTAATGTATAAATATTATTATATAGGAGTTTAATTAAACAGGCATATGAAATCAATCTACAAAATAACAAATATTACAGTTTACAAACAAAATATTAGAAAATATACAAAATACTCGAAGTTAACATCATATTACACATACTTGAAGACAATACTGTTGTCGAAATATTAATATTATCTATTTTAATAAGAGCATTGTTTGCAAGTGAGAATCGATTTGGTTGAACTCTTCGATAAATGAAATATTAAGTCTTAAGTCTGTTTTCACTAAAAGCTTCTTAGAAATCTAAGTCAAAATTATTGTTATGTTGAATATATAGATGAAGTTATTTAATATTCAGTATTACAACGATTTTGAACTACGTTGTAGTTAAAAAGATATCTACTACTATTTCGTATTCTGACGAAGTGTAAGTAGAAACTATATATTTTAGAATATGTATACTTATATATCTCCGATGTAAGGAAATATGTCTCCATGACCATGACAGATCTACGGTAGGACCATAGCTTTACTTAACATCGTATTCGCGGATAGCACAGAGGCAGTTGGCGTTTGGCATACATTCCTATGCCAGATATGGGAGCGAAACGAGCGACCCAGTGTCTCACGGTCATTCGGTACGTTACTATTATTTACTGACCCTTAGGTTGTAACATTTCATATCAACTTTCTTGCGTTCACCAAACTGGGGTCTACGAGATATGGTTACAGTGTTTATGGGATAATTTATAGTCGACAGTTCTTGAAACGTTAAGGTTGTAATAAGAAGTATGGTAGAGTATCTACTTATTTATCTATTCTTGAACTTACTTTAGTTGCTAGATTCAGCTTTGTCTGCGTGAAATATAACCTCATTTCTATGGAATCTATTTCGTGTACTACATAAAAAGTTTCACTTAAAATGCTATTCATTCCATAGTACCTCTTAGATTTTATGTCGTAATATCAGTGATAGCATTTCTCTACTAATAATACTATAGTCTCTGTCTGGCTCGGTTGGTTAAAAGAATGGCTGGTTGTTATAGTACAACGTACAAGAAAATATGAACAATAAATCACCAATTTCATATTGGTGATCCAGTTTTAGCATAGATTTAGATACATAAATAATATACACCTACTGTGATAATATATTTTGAGAATAAAAACCTATATTCTTATCTTCGATTCAATTTTATAATGAAAAATTTGTTTCGTATAACCTGAAAGTCATTTTTGTATTAATTTCAACACATTTTAGGTATGTAACCTAAGAGCTTATACACATGTATGTCAAACAAAATAGGCCTAAAAAAGCGTTTAATATTTTAATTGTAGAATATGACTAATGTACGCATACCCTATAATAATGATATAAAATGAATTTGTATTTGGATAACGGAAATAGAAAATGTGATTAGAAAAAGAAAGTGAAAGCTTAATAAAACTTGTTATTGAAGCTAGTCTTGTCAACTACAATTACGAAACAACAGCGTAATAGAATATAATATGAGATATCCACATTGTTCCGAATCTGTAGTCGAATAAGCATCTGTAGATAGTTAAACACAATAAGTATATTTGATAGCTTACAAGCTGGTAAGCAGACATTATTTTGTCTACGACAGTGGTGTCAAGTTACAACGTTGTGGGCTGTTAGCTGCTGTTTAAACTAGTTATTCACGCTTCAACCAGTCACGCAATGTCATGTTGACAAATTATAATTCTCACATTTCATTAGTCGATATACCTACCTTCTTACATCAAGCCAGATTCTTATTTTAAGCTGGATGTAATTAATAAGGAACGGATAATATTACGGAATCTTCTTTAGTCGATATACCTACCTTCTTAATTCCATAGATAACTATTAAGGTGGAGTTAAAGTACAAAAATCATTACGTATAATAAAACAATAAAGCAATAACTGCATGTCTGTCTGATTTTGTATTTGTGTGCTAAGGTTGTCACATGAACTGAAATTTTGACAGTGATGTCATAATATTATGGCTCTACAAATATCCTATGTCTAAGAAAAACTGAGATAATTACCCCTCAAAGGGGTAAATAAAATTTATGATAATTTTTAATACACCACCTACAATGTTTTCATTTGTTTATATAACAAAAAATGGCGTTGTATACATGCTTTATTTGTTATTGTCTTTCCATTATCCACACATGGCGTTTATCACAGAATAAAAGCTAAAATACAGAGCCAGGTTTGGATTAGTACTATAAAAGAACATTTACAAAACTTTTACTATAAAACGTTCTGAGTAAGTTCGAAATAAACAGAAATCAATGGAACAAATATTCGCCCGCTTAGTCTAACTACACCTTTAAATTATGGAGTAGAGCTTTAACTGTAGTCGACTTTTTTCAATATTTTACTTATAGAAACACTGTTATAAGGTACCTTATAAATGCAAATACAATAAATGTAACGTAAGTAATAGTAAGTTAATTACGTAAGTTTTACTTATGTAAATAGAATAGAATAAAATAACAGGTGTAAATGTGGCTTTACAACAAATAACAACTTAAATAGTATATAGCAGGTAGCTTTCGAAATGTCCAATATATCGTACCATTTGGTTTGAAATGATCTCACTAATCACCTTTGTATTCCGAGAAATGGAAATGAACTGATAGAATGAGAACGAATAGATAACAAATTATGACTATCACTTACGTTAGTAGTCAACTGTGTAGTCAGCGTATGTACTTTTTCTTTAGCATCTGCGAGCTCACGTCTTAATTTCCGGACCTGTTTAAATATAAATTACAATGTTTCCATATTTATTTTTGAAAAATACAAATGTTATAAAATTGATTATACATTGGTTGATTATATTTATTGATTATACATAGGTTCGTCTAGTACGGGGTACTAGACGAACCTGTGTCGTAGGAGTCCACAAATAAAAAAAATCTTAAAATCATAAGACCCAAAGGAAAGAAGATATTTTAATTTGATTTAATAAAAACATTGCAGATCCTTCTTGAAGTTTTTTTGATAAGAATATACCTGCATAATCCATAAAATTCAGACAAATTTCTACACTGTTAACATTCCTATTAAATTCTTGATTTTAGTGTGTAATATCTAATAATACAGAACTCCTAAACATTTCTTAATTATAACGGTCTTAAGGTATAAGCAAATGTTAAGAATTTAAAAAGGCGCTTATCTTACTATAACACCATTACTCTAGTATTTAAAAAATATGTAGTATTACATAAACAAATATTCGGTAAGAATATATCGGTCTCGGTGGTCTAGCGGTTTAGAAACAGCCTTACTTCCGAACGCCTCGGTTTAGATTCTCGCACGATACAAACACAATTTGTAGTCATAAGTAAGATTGTTTGTATAGGTCTGGGTACTTTCTATTTATATTATAATATATATACAACTACAGAAAAATAATATAAATATTTCTATCAGTTTAAGACTCACAATACAAGATTTTAGTTTGGGACAAGACAGCTCCTAGACTAGATTGAATTAAACGATTTTACTATGAGTATAAACAATATATTAAAAACAAGATGACCCACGCATTTTAGTCTGCGTCAGATTTTAACCGTTATTGCGACATTTTTCATTGCAGTTCCGCTCCTATTAATTATAGTGTGATATTGTGTAGGCCTTCCTCGTTAAATGGATTAACAGTAAAAGAGTTTTTATTAAACTTTAACGAGTTTGGATGTTCGGGGTAGCTTAACCTGTTTATAAGTATGTGTATAAATGGCAAAATTTAAATATTATTTGAGAAAATATAAGCTAGCTTACCTCATGAGCTTGTCTCTCCTCAGAGCCAGCCCCTGCCGCTAGTGATGACGCGGTTGACACCAGCGATGCAGTTGACCCATGCACTAAATCATAATAATATTATTAACTTTATGGTATAAATTTAGATTGTTATACAGTTTTGATATTTTTTAAATAATCAATTTATTAAGTCAAATAATTATGGTATAACATCTACTCGTATAATCTTAGGTATAATAGCAACGAAAGACAATTTATTTGTCATGATAAAGATACATAGTCTAGAAAAAGTATAAATGACTATTTCGAAAATAGTAAGCACCTTGGTGTTGGAAACTAGAATAATTGACAATAGATGGGTAAGTAAGGAACGAAAAGTTAAAAAGTAACAAATACACAGCATAATAAGGTTTTCAGCAGAATACTACAATAATCTTCTGATATTAGGAAGTAAATATAAACCGCGTGCTTCATTACCTGATACAAATAGGTTAAATTTAATCTAAAATTAAAAGCCGAAGCACATTGCTAATTATTTACAATTATTTCACGATACAAAAATTTTGCAAATTTATCATAGAGTTTATTGTTTTTGTTTTGAATTCTATACTTCCTTATAGTATATAAATCACTATTTGATATTTCCTGTCATATAAAATCTTAAATTACATCTATTATCTACGTACCATCGTCATTTTTCTTGGGGTAGTGATGGGAATGTCTTGGTGTGTGCATCACATTGCCGGGCTGGTGGGTGGGGCTTAGGGCTGATCTCGGGGAAGGTGAAGGTGGTTCCGATACACCATAGTTTAGACCTATAAGTTCATCTATATATAAATTCAAGCTTATTTTTAGATAATTGTTAATTTAACAAGCGCCTGTTAATAAAATTAAGCAATATTCTTTTATAACAGGTTTCTTTGCTAATCAAATAATAAAGTGGGATATTTATAGTTTATATATATATGTGTATATATCGATCATTTAATATATTACTAAAAAACCTTCATATTTTTTTGGGGAAAAAATAAAATTATTTTGTATCGTCTCAAAAGGTTAAAGCTTATGAAGCTTACAGCAATAAATTCAAATTATGTATTGGTGGCAGCTTGAATAGGATTATAGATCAATATTACAGACATCAATAACATTTACAAATAATATTACCTTAGCAATGTTATTCGGGAGCAGGCAGACTCATTCGTAATACCTACTAATTACAAATAATAAAAGACAATTACAATACAATAAAATCTTACCTTGTCCTGGTCCATATTGAACAGGTAAACAATAATATGGTTCATAATCGCTCTCTGACGATCGTTGTAGCATTGATGGGTATAATTTCTCGGATTTAGTGGATCTGTAATTACAGTTCATTTTAATATACTTCGCCAGCAACAACTATTGTTCCACATTACAACATGGCACAGTATAAAAATAATATATAGCATAATATCGACAAAAGCCTAACTGAAAATAATGATTCATTGTACTTAGCACTTATAATGACTGTGGTGATTTTAGAAACAATAATAATAAAGAGAAAATTAATTGACAAATAAAACTTTGTGAACACGATTGTGCGTTGTTTTGCAAAATACGTCGAATAATTTCGAAAAACAAACAGTAATAAATGATCAAATATGGTACTGTTCTATATGTATAACAAATATATGTTTATTATAAACGTATAAGTGACAGAAAGCCGTGCCATGTTTAAATCATGCATTTGCTTTGTACGTTGTAGTGAAGCGTGCCACCTCGAAGCTAAAACATGAGCAAACTTCCAACCTTTGTATGGCATACCTTGGGAAAGTCCTATCTCTGAGGTAGCTAAAAATTTAACCAACAGGTTTTCAAATATATGTTACATAATATGTAAGATTATAATAATAATGAGAAGCTTGGACGAACATATTTTATATAATATATTACAAAAGCATAAATATATTACGAAATAGGATATGTAATATGTATGAGAAGATAATGATAAGGATAAATGATAACGTTTAACATCATTCACCATGACGGTAGAAAAAAAAATCCCTTTACTTATATTTTCATTAAGAAAATCTGCCTGTAAATACCTCATACGATATGTAATAATTATAAAAATTGTTGCTACGGTATCAAAATCTCAGGCCTACCATGACCTTCATTCAATATTATTTTTACATTTTATTATCTTTCACGGTAATATATTAAATAGGAGTATAGCCTACATCCTCACGTTCCTAAACTTGTTCACATACTCATTATAACAATGATATAATAGTCCCTATGTTATATTCTATAGTGTGATCTATAGAAACTATCATATAATTATTTAAAAGTTTTTAAGTATGTGATTAACGGTAACCACAAAGTATATGGCGTACCAATTATATCCAATCCAAAGTTCTAATAAAAGTATCATCCAATTGCTAAATGTGAATAATACCGTGTTCAGACAAGGAACCAGATCGAAAAACTGACTTCAAACGTATTATTATGAATAAATAAAAAGCTACTAATCAGATCACGAAAAGTAAATTGAGAACCTCCTTTGACAGTGACTCGGTTGAAGTTGAAAAACGTTTATTGTGCGAAAATAACTGAATAAATCGTAAAAAAATATCTATCTGCGATTTAAATGTCTGTCTACGCAAGCTCGACCCACCTAATGCTGTTGCTCCTGTTAAGTCTGGAGCCCTGAACGTCTCGGTGCATGATGAGCTTATTGTGTGTGAGTGAGCTGCGGTGGTGTGAGTTAGGGGAGGAGGTGTGGTTGTGCGCCTGCGCAGAGTGCAGCGACGTGAGCGACTCCATCGACTCGCCCTCCGAGAGCCGTCCGCTCGCAGAGTATGTATTGCTGAAATGGGGGAACATGATGATGGATCGTACAGGCCAGTTGTAAAGTTGAAAGGAATAACGATCTTTATATATATTATGTTTTGTAATTATATCATTTAAAAAAATACTACGTGTAGGTTACAAAAATAGGCTACAGTTGCTAGATTATTTTTTAGCAAAAAAGCAGCGTATACTCTACAGTATTAGAAGTTTTATTTTCCTTATTATATAACTAATGTAACTAATAATTATATATATTTTTAATAAAATATGTATGTATACAATTGATACTCTAGAATTAAACTTAATTTTGTAATGCTAACCAACATTTATTTAAAAAAAGAAACAGGTAAATTTATTTCTCGGAGATTAGTCTGCTTTCTAAATAAGCAGTAAAATTAAAACATATGAATATTCAAAACTGCTTATATTTAGTTTATTTGAATTAATATTAATTCTATTTATAAATAGAAATAATAAATAAACTATTTTATTTACGAGTGCGAGTTACTGGCATCCTTCAATATAATTAAAAAAGTTCAAATTTTTTATTCTCATATTATATATATACTCCTATTTTTAGAATAATTTTTATTTACAGCTGGCCATCATGGATACAGGACAGTATAAAGCATATGAATATGAGAATAGTATTGTATTAAATACACTGCGATAGATCAAAGATAAATCAATATGGCACACAAAATGCACACAAATCGAGTAATGATATTAATATACATATATATGTATATATATATATAAAATTCATGGTGATGGTGATTATGAATGATAAGAAATAAAATAATGTACATTTTAGATTAATAAGTCGTATCTAATATGGTTTTTATTTGAATTTAGTATTTTTATTTGCTGGTGAAAATAAATAGTACATACTACATACTAATAATAATCTGTTTATATATATTTTTATAAATCTTGATAACTTAAAATAATTGTCAAACTAAATATTCGTGTGATACTCTGTAGGTATCTAATGTTTTAAACCAGCACACAATTAAAATTCTGTTATTGCAAAACCACACTTCAATCATCAGAGGGAGGTACAGTATTATTTAACTAACCTGTGTCTCAGCCACGGTGCATATGGTATGCCGTAATCAGATTTTACTTCAGAATACGTCTGAGTATCTGAAAGACTACCGTCACTGATCTTCATCCCACCCCTCGGTGTTATCCTGAAATTAAATTATCAAATTTAATAATGAAACATTTATATATCACAAATTGAAAAAAAAAAAATATTATGTTATATCGTGACCTTACAGGAAACTAGTTTCAAAGAGTCAGACCCTATAACGTAATGACACGTTTTAAGTCTTACTAAGCACTGATTATATTCCAGTTCCCATGAATTTTAAATATACACCTATGTAAATCAAATAAACAAACAGAGATAAATAATATCTACGCTTATCAATTGACTTCATGTCCATCACACTTCACATATACCACATATACAAAAACGAAGTAGTTAGATCTTATACTCTTCACCTTACATATTTAACCATTACTAAAATATCAATTAGGGTAACAAATGTACTTTATCCATTTATAAATTATGTATTCCCTCATTTTGTCTATCACAATTGCTGCATTAAGTAATAAAAAATATCAAAATATCAATTGTCACGCGTACTAACTAGAAATGCAAATGAGTAGTTAAATAGATTTAAATAAAAACATATCATAATGAATAGAAAACTGCAAAAATTTAGCTAATTAACGAGTAAATTTATCAGAACCTGTCAAAAACCATTCGTAAAAATGTGTAAGAATTTTAAATTAATTATAAATCTCGAAATGTAGTATACCTAAATGTGTGGGACATCTTGATCGTCTGTCAATTAGGAGAATCACGACATAGTAAACTGATAACAGAAACACTCGTGCGTATTACACGCAATACACGACATCTACGTCCACACATAACGAAATACTTTGTCACAATGGCATTTATTTAATCACGATCTTGTTTATACAGGGATGCATTTCAATTTCTATATGTAATCATGACAACGAATATAATATTTTCTTGTCAGATTATTAAGTATATACCTATTATTTCTCTTATACGAACATGAAAATAACCCATTGTCTGGACACAATATTTTTTTATAACGTTATATTCTTTTGTCTTCAAAAGTTAATTACTCAATGAAATATAATATATAATATGGTCTCTTTGTACATAATTATAGTGTGTTTGTCAAATTAGTTTTACTATTAGAGCATGATAGATTAACAAAGTTCCGAATATTATTACAATACAAAATTTGATTTTAATACTATAATTATATTAGGATATAGTAAGTAGTACTTTCTTGAAATATTTTAATTATTTATCAATACTGTACATATATATTAAGTACATATTTTTATAAAGTTAATCAAGTTACAAACAATTACATAAAAAATTACTCAATTAACTGTATCTAGTTAATAGGTAACGCATCTATCTTATTAGATTATAGTACAAAAAAACAAACAAAATACAACCCTGTCCATATATTTCAGCATCGTCAGACACAACACAACTTAAATTTTACGAGTAAAAATGAGAACGAAATGGCTTGTCCCACACTGCGACTTCGAGTTAATGAATCTCTCGGCAAATTATATAAATTGTTTTAATTGGTAATGTCAGCTGGACAATTGGTTTGGAGGAATCTTAGAAGTTTGTAGACAATATATATACTGTTATAAAATCAAACATCACAAGTTTCAATGATTTGATAACATTATTTTACTGGTGTTTTTTTATTATATTTATGGTGATCGTAACATAATTTACGTTTAATATTAATAGCCACATATCAATTAAACGCTTTAATGGCACGTGTATATAATATTGAGGTACTTTTATAGAATGGGCCAATCCTAGTAAATTCAATAGATATATTTATAAAGATAATAAATAGTAATACCTATAATAAATAGTAATAACTAATACTTCTTGAATTAGAATATTATAATCGTAAAGACAAGCATATAAATAAGTGATGACACAAGTCGCAATAACGTAAATAATTTGTTTATTACTACAATAAAATATACAGAGAAGAACTTACCTATGGTGATGGAATAACGCAGCAAACTCATGAGTTCCCGGTTTAGGTAATGATTGTGACCCGAGTAACCGTTCTCGAACAGAAGCAGACAACTGTGCTGCAGCCGTCCCACCCAACGAGTACGATTTGGGTCCGATTCCATTTTCTGGTGAGAAGAAGCAACAGAATTAATACAACGAACAACAAACCATGAGAATACTCCGTTACTAAGTTTATTTTGGGTAAATGTAAATGCATTGATGCAAACAAGCTTTCCTGATGGTAGTAGTAACCGTCACCTGACTGATACTTTCATGCTTTGTAATTCTAGAGGACAAGTTATAATGTCTCTTATACTGTAATATCACTGCTTTATCTCATCCTTTAACTGAAAGGCAGCTTACCAAGCTAGTTGCTTGGCAGTTGAAATAGGTAGATAGAGATACACGCAGGATGATTTATTACAAAGTTTAGGTACATCGGGGAAAAATAGAAGTACCTACAATAGTGATACATTGATTATTATAATTGTTGAGCGTATTTAGCTTAATCAATGCTCTACTCGGCATTTTACTATTTTGATGCATACCGTTCATTTATGAATAATAAGTTATGAAAAAAAAAAAGACAACAAAAATGTTTATTTATGTAACTTTATACAAGCATTTATTTTACTACCAAGGTATATATGACTGACTACGAGATTTGAATTTTCTTTTTATTAAATTATGCTCTTTTTCATTATTAACTTCCAGGTTCCATACAGAGGTTATTTATGGTACAATGTTATGATATTTAGATTATTTGGTATATGTAAGCTACTTCATATACGAAACATTTGGAAAGGTTCGAGATGGCTTTCCCGCGCACATTCTAGCGAGCATAAAGAAAATAATATTGCAGTTCCTGATTATTTGTATGAAATGCTGGATGCAGTTTTGTTTTTTACTAACTATTTTAACGTTCGTTGGTTTTGATTAGAATTCAATTGTACTAATATGAAAAGCAACTCACTATGAATTTGAAGGTCTTGCGTGCATGTTTGCGTACCTCCCGACACTTTTACTTTCGTTCTGGGAACTGCAGATACTTGGGCCGTTCGTCCACCTATAATTGGAAAACAATTTTTAAGAGCATTTAATTTGTAAGCAGATAGTATAGGGGGACATGTAAACAATACATTGCAAAACACAATTCATAAGGCAAACATCCTGTTATTTATGTAATTTTAAAAATACACTATTGCTATAATAAGACTAAATTTTCAATTAAAAGATTTAAAAATTATTAACAACTAGGTACTTGTAGGTTCTATAAACGTAACACTATATTTAATTATTATAAATATGTCCATCAGACCACTTGAAATGAAATGCTTAATGCTAATTTTTTTTTCCCATATTCGTCTATCTCCTTTTCAGTGATGGAACATGCAAAGATCCTTAGACCGGACAGCCTAGTCGTAGACTAAAACTTAAACTTCTTCATATGCTTAATGCTAAATGTACGTATTGAATTGCCGCCAATTTCGCAATTTTTATTTCTTAATATTATATAAATAGACAGGCGAAGGGCGCAGCCCATACTGCTTAGTTCATATGAGTCATCGTTTTTTGTAACAGAATGAGAAATGATATATATGTAAGCATTGACTGTGTGGGTTGTACCTTTACCTAATCTATATAAATGAAAATCAATTCCCGATCGTAGGTATCTAAGTAGGCTTGCGTTTTTAGAAAGAATTCATGTTAGTTTTTGCACGGCATATTCGTAAGAAATTGTTTGTATATATTAATTTTGAAGGTTAGATTAGATAAAGATTTATTGCCATAACTGTCTGTAGGGTTGGTTTTTCCGCACGTAAGATAGTCTCATAGAAAAAAAACAATTGTTTTATAAAATTATGCAAGCACTAACACCAATACTTATTTTTAATATTGGTTTTATTCTTATAAATGTGGATGCCGTCTATTATAAAGCACTTTGGAACGACTACATTTATTTGACTATTTAAAACAATTAAGCTGTATCTGTGATTTTTCAATATAGCAGCGTATACACATTTTGAATATACGTTACGAATATTAGTAAATGAAATTTTAAAATTCAATGAGACGTTAAAGGATTACATCTAAAATTTACCTTGATGTATTACCAAGTATGTTAAGGGTCTATAGTATTTGATACGTTAATGTCATAATATTGTCTAGTTGAAAGATTTTACTTACTGTGTCCATGCTGTGGTGGACCATTCGCCTGCGGCGCCGGTTGTTGGACTCCGTTCTGCCTCTTCACGTATCCGAAGTTTTGGGGCACTTTGGCTTTGCTCGAGGAACAACTGCTACCATTTCCTCCGCTTGAGATACTCGAAGGACGAGATGAACTACCACCGGGGGACTGAAGCTGCAAAAATAATTTATGCGCGTATATTTTAATTAACTCTGAACTAAAAAGATGTAATGGAAGCTTTCATCATATGTTGGTGCATATACTTTACTCTACTTTTTGTATCAACTGAACTACTGTTATAAGAATAAAATAAAATATTAATGATAATAAATCAATTTTATAAAGTGAAAGTAAACTTTTTTTTATCTGGAACTCAGAATCCGTCGTGCAGTTTACAAGGTCTTTTCCATATTGACAACTTAGTATACCAGAAAGGAAATACGCGTGTAAAATGGAGAACTCACCTGAGCAGCGGCACCTCTTGAGTGTTGACTAGATGCTGACGTTGTTGGATACTGAAAAATATTATTTAATTTACAAATATATGTATGTATGTATGTATACATATTATAAATATGTACGTACATTATATATTCAAGAGTGTCGATCTGAGTGATTGTTATCTTTTCAAAGTCTCGGGTAAGAGATTTTAATAATATAATTGCGAAAGTGTCTATTTTACGACTAAACGGCTGAACGGATCTTATCTTATTAATAGATTGTAAAAAGCAAACGAAGATGCTGCAAGACAGTAGATTATTTCTAAACGATTATCCGTATAATATAATACTCGTATGTAATCGGTAATTTTGAAATTTGTCTACCTGTGGATGCGGCGCGATGCCCAACTGCTGGGCTGCTGTAAGCTTCTCCCTCTTGTGATGCTGCGGAGAATGGTGACCAGTGCGCCTCTCCCCTTTACGCCCATGCGAAGGACTTGGCGGAGCCTGAGCCGGTTGATTCTACAATCATGATATATACTATTAATATGTAATATTATGTTATCTGTGCTAATTAGGTAACATTTGCTAACAAATATATCTAATATATGTTTCCTTTGCTCTTACTGATGTAACCCTAATCAACTGAAACCTACTTATACGTCCATTTAAATATTTGAAAATAACAAGCATAGCTAAGTCACTAGTTTTACATAGAAATAAGAATTAAGAAACTACCTACTGTCTGCAATATATGCTAAATATAGTGTAATTGATTACATTACTAAAATATATAAAAGCTACACAGTAGAAAATATACAGAGTGTAAACTTTTCAGCCTGCGCTCATTCAGGAAAGTTTTAGTCATTGCGTTGTATTGAATCATCATATATAGACATAGTGTCGGTATTACCGTTTAAATTCTTTTAGTGGCGTTTGGCGCAGACGGTAACAATTTTTTTTTCATATACACATTTTATTGTTAATTACAATTTGCAGTTTCCAACAGTTAGATCTAGTGCTCAAGCTTCCACTCTGTATAATATATACACATCTAATTCGACGATACTAAAGAGCTATTTCGACATCACGAAATGTACGGGTCCAATTTATTGGCGCTATGCTCTGTAATACTGCGAATGAATACCAATGGCGGAGTCCCCACCCCTGGCGAGTCGGTGTACTTCTTCCAAGTGGTGTCCTGGCGAGGCGTTGGTGGTTGCCGTTCTGTCTGCTGGCCGCAGTCAGCCTTACTCCTCGTGCGACCCACTACTCTGTATACAACGCCACTGCCGCCCTCCATGCTTCTATTGCGACCTGTACGTCTGTGGAAATTTTAGGTATTAAAATAATATGCTTAAATTATATATTGTAATAAAAATGGGAATATTTTATTTTTCCTAAATATACACAGATACTAAAATCGTAAAAATTACGTAATTAATTGCGTACCTTTGGAAACCTCAGTCTAACCTATATCAGTTGCCAAGCTCGCTTTGTAAAATGTGTTTCAGTTGAAGGGTGTAAGATTAACGTACATAACGGTATGACATCTCATGGCATCTATAGTGTAGCAGTTTAGTATACTGGTTTACTTCCATTGGTAGGGGATTCGGTTCATCGCACGATACAATCATTTTCATGAATATAAGTGTTTGTATTGGTCTGAGTGTTTTCTATATATATACACATTTACAAAAAAATATCTACGTATTTATATCATTTGTCTAGTACCCATAACACAAGCTCTGATTAACTTGAGATTAGATGGCGCTGGGTAAATTATCTGGGGTTATTATTATTGCCTTAGTCCTTCGGAATAGCAACACACGTATAATATCACGGGTGTCACATGATGACGTTAGTCTGTGAAGCTCTTCTTGTACTCGTATATACTCGTAAGTTTCTATTAACCACCAGGTGGGTCGTCAGTTTGTTTGCCATTCTCGTTACATAAAAAAGTTTACCCTATCAAGCTTCTTATAATTAGCTATTGGCGTGATGTAGCTATAAGGTCAAATAAAGTTACTCGTAGGGCTACGTAGATATTAATTCAAGAAACTTCTCTCTTACTGTCAGGAATTAACAATTTAATATTAACTCCGAGAATGTAGTGGGCAAAAACGTTACCCACATCATTTCTCTAATAACAAGCTACCCAGCTTATAACTTTCTAATCTGTTAAATATTATTATTATTATATATAGTATAGCCTCGCGAAACGACCTTTGCGTGATCTAACTAAAGTTTAACGATTAACATGGAACATTATTTTCAGCTTAAGTTTGTTTAGCGTTGCCGGCAAGCGCCGCCTCATTTGCTGGAGCAAATGCTCGAACCACCCAATTATGTACGCGGTTTTATTATTTTCTAAAGAATCAAATTGGAATACTTCCCCTTCAATAGGTAGTATTTTTTAGCCTTCAACTAAACCGACAAAATATTACCTTATTATACGGGCAACAACGAGAGGAGGTTCTATCGATCCTTATTTGTTTACTCTCGCAAAGGTTTTAAGCTCTTTGATGTAGGTAAGCAATTTTATATATTACTAGTCTGGCACGTGACGCATGATTGCCCCATATTGATAACCACAAATATAGAAATATAGAAGTTTTTACCACCAGCGTTGTAAGAACTACTATGCCTGTAATGTATGGTATGTATCCTGTATGCATGTACATTTCTACATATGTGAACCATAAGGTAACCTTAAATAATCTCAGTCAGATTATATTCATAAATCTAATAATACAATAGATAAAATCCAAGTCATGATTATATAGGCAATACATATGAGCACAAAATAAATTAAATTTACTAGATGTAGACATTGTACAAAGTCATACGTACTGCAAAATACCTTCTTTGTAAGTTGTTGCAAGTTTTGCCACTTTTCACCGAGTACCTTCAGCTAATTAGTCAATTAAATTACATAAGAAAACAATTTGCTATGTTTCTACTTAATATAACATTAAATACCTTTTTATGACATTATGGAATCCATTTTTATTTCATTTTTGACTCTTATAATAATACAAAAGACAATTATGGTGATACCAATATCTATGATACGATGGCTAAATGGGATCAAAGCAGATTGAACATATGCTCTTAAAGCTCGAGCTGATCGAACAAAGGCATTCAATTGGTGATTGTTCATAGAGCGTTCCACACGCCGCCGCCGTGCAACATGTCGCTGTAATCTGACCTACATTTTGGGATTTGTGGATCCAATATTTGCTGCTTTGATGATTAAATTTAGAATCCTATATTTATTATATAATTAACTTATTTGGTAACATAATAAGAAACGAAAAGGACAACAAATACCACCATACACAACAGGAATTAACGTCATGTTTAATTAAACTGAAGTATAATATTTTTCCTTATATTTTTTATGTATTCGGAATGGCAAACGAGCTGACAGGCCACATAATCATAGTCGAAGTGGTATTTGTCTATATATATCATCATTACACTTAAAGCCGGAGAAACTTGGCTGGTTACTTTAGTAGTTAGGCTCTACACACACAACGGCCCAAATGAGAGGCTAATTGCGGAGACTGGAGTCCAATTTACATTTACACACTTAAAGCCTGTGGCACCACTTTTACGATACCATTTCGGAAAACTAAAATATCATACCTTCATAATCTTTAACTTCACTGACATATTTTATATTCCTACAGCGTGGGGTTTTTCAAGTATTAAGTAAGTCAAGTTTTCTGAAGGGTCGGAAACGCGCATGTGACACCCCTGGTGTGTCAGGCGTCTATAGGCTACAATAACTGTTTACCAGCAGATAAGCAGTATGCTTGTTTGCCATAGCGTATAAAAAAAACAAATGTGTTGCCATTCCGAACATGTCTTTAACCTTCTTATCCTATAATTTGACTGCCCTTAAACCGAAACATATCTTACAAAGCAAGCTGCTTGACAACTGAATTAAGTAAGATAGTTAGAGTGAGACTCACATATATGACTTCGTGCACAGCTTGGCTAGATAACTATAATGTCTTATTATAACAAGCTTAGACAATTAAAATATAGCCATCTAGAGACAAGTTAAGCAGACCTTGTGTTATGACTACTAAACAAATGATAGAAAAAATTATATATTATTTTTTGTAAATTCATACAGAATAGTCATAGTAAACATCCATATCAATACAAATAATAATACTCATGAATACTAATGTTTATCTGTGGTCAGAATCGAACCCATGCATTCGAAATAAAGCGGTGTACTAAACAGTTAGACAACCGAAGCCTTCAAAACGAATACTACGGGCAACACATACATACTATAGCAACTCTTACAGGATAATCATTTATAATAATTAATAACAACGTTATAAATAAAGTAGATACAATAAATTAAACAGGTATCAACTACTTAAAAAAGTTATATATTTAGAGCTCACAATATGTAATTATTCTTCACAAATGTAAATATTATGTAGCTACTATATTATTATTTATCAGAATTCAACCATAACGACCCGAGTTATTAATAAATTGTTTACCTTACACGAATAATAAAACTGCACTCTACTCTTCTAAATGATTAACCTCACAGCAATATATCAAACTCGATATATGAACTAACAATAAACAAAAGATAACATTTTTGTATTACAAATAAACAAGTGCGTTCTCAATATCTATCTAATTATAACAAGATATGTAATAATTCAGACTTAATACTGTATAAGAATGGGTGTATTCATTTCGATCATTAATCACTCCTTATTACAAACTGAGATCAATGATTCCTTTATGTTAAATTAGCACCCGGCTATTTTTAGTAATGTAAAGAGGTCGCTATGGTTTTGCTTCCTTTGATAAGAATATATTTACTTATTTTAATTAAGAATTATCATTATCTCTATAAACAATGATGGTACTTAGATAGTACTACATTCTATTAGAAATACCTGATTTAGTAAGGGACGTATAATTGTGTACATTGGCATTTAAAAGGGTGAAGGCACAGTTTCTCATTTCTTTTCGGGTAGAACTACATTCATAAATGACGATAGATTTACGTTATAACAACGACCCATATTTGTTTGCAACCGACTGGAATAAAATTAAATAAGAATACCACGACATCATAGAGAAAACCTAGTTTCTGAGATTATCGCACATACACGCACAGACAAATGTACAAAAGTCTAACAAATATTGACATGACTTCTATTAAGTTGGTAGAGTCCTACAATAATATTTCTTTTTTACTATCTTTTTTTTACATACGGCGATCTATTATTACATTTATTATACAATATGTATAGAAGAAAATATAGATGAGCTTCCAATATCGCATCACATTTAATGTTCTACACTAGAGTAGATTATACACAGAACATTCTTTTGAGTCACGCGAGTATATCAAGGAGAAATGAAAACTGTTAGTAAAATGAAGCCAGTAGGAAGTTATATGTAGGTGGTAGGTTAAGCAAACAGTCACAGATTACTTGGCTATCAAGCCTTTGCGGTAACACTGCAGTGTCCCACTTTAACGCAGTCGCATAAAGATTATCAAATATATTCTTAGCTTTACTATATCTGGACTATCTACATATTCTTGTCGAATTCAATTTCAAAATATACTCGTATTTACATATTTTTATGTATAAAAAACTGCTACAACTAATTAGCAGATTTATAGTTAGACAAGTTTTTGTAATATAAAATAAATGTAATAATTTTAAACAACCTAGATATTTAATGAGTAAATAAGAACTTTAAATAAACATTGTACTATTATCAGTATTTGGTTAGAAAATAGAAATAGAATTACTGTATTCTATATCTTGTATAATATTTGGAGGAGTAAAACGAATTAATTTTTAAAAAAATAAGTAATTACAAATAACATCTAAAAAATACAAGTAATGTTTTAAAAAAATCGAATTATTATATTGATTATGTTATTTCCTATGTAATTAATAATAAGGCCCCAACTTACTAATGTAAATAAAGAATTCCGAAAACACCAAAAAGGATACGTTATATCCCTCTTATGCTATCCCTAACAACACCGGCATCCAAATATACGCGAATCATATTCATAAAGCCCGCTAATCTGAATCTCTACCTACAACTACGACTCTACGCGACAGTTTTGCAAAAACATTGGCGTCTTAATGAAAACTCGACGCCCGAAGTCGCGCGCTAATGATGACGGATCCACTGAAAGGAAGAAACTTCAACCATCCCATTATCTATGAACTGAACAGTCCTCATTATTCTTTCATGTCTAGCTCACCATATTTTTTTTACAAAATGATGAACTATGCCTTTATCAGTCGAG